TCGTATGCAGTTTGTCGCATCATAATCATAATAATCGTCATCAAGATCAACATGAACGTCTGCATCAGCATTTACATCCTCATCACCGTGGGCTTCATCGTCTTCCGCATCGGCATCATCATGACGCCTGGTAGTTCCTCATCGTCATCCGCGTCATCACCGTAACCGACAAGAATCACCCTCACCACCCTCGTCCCCTCTAGCCCCTCCCCCTGCGAGGCGAGCGGCAGCGCGCCTTGGAGGAGATGACGAGCGCAGCCTGCCTGGCGAGCTCCTCCTCGGGAACGCGCGGGCGGTCGGACCCCCTGCGGCCCCCGACGGACCGACCGCCCGTGGCGGCCGCCGCGGCCGGCGGAACATGCACTGACCGGGCGCGGCGGCGCAGCGGCGGATCGCCGGCGGGGCAAGCCGAGGATTGGCGGGGCAAGCGGCGGCGGGCGCAGCGGCGGAGCGGCGGCGGGGCGGCGGCGGCGGCGGGGCAGCGTGCGCGGCGGCGCAGCGGCGGGGCGGCGGCGGCGGCCGCGGGCGAACGGCGGCGCGGGCAAAGCGGCGGCGGGGCGGCGGCGCGGCGAGGCGGCGGCGGTTGGCTTGACGGCGGCGGGGAAAGGCAGCCTGACAGGAGTTGGGGGGGGAGAAGAGGATGAGGAGGAGGAGGAGGAGGAAGAGGAGGAGAAGAAAAGGAGGAGGATAGGAGGAATAGAAGGAGGAGGAGGAGGAGAGGAGGAAGAGAGGGAGAGGAGGAGGAGGGAGAGGAGGAAGAGAAGGAGGAGGAGGAAAGAGGGGGAGGAGGAAGAAGAAGAGGAGGAAGAAGAGGAGGGGGAGGAGGAAAAGGAGGAGGCGGAGAAGGAGGAGCAGAAGAAAGAGCAGGAGCGTAGACAGGGAGGCAGAAAGGAGGAGGAGGGGGAAAAAATTGTTTTAGGAGGAGGAGGAGGAGGAGGAGGAGGAAGAGAAGGAGGAGGAAGAGAAGGAGGAAAAAGAGGAAGAGGAGGAAGAAGAGGAGGATGAAGAGGAGGAGGAGGAGGACAACGAGGGGGAAGAGGAGGGGGAGGAGGAGGAAAGGGAAGAGGAGGAGGAGGAGGAAGAGGAGGAAGAGGAGGAGGGGGAGGAGGAGGAGGAGGGGGGGGAAGGGGGCGGGGATAAAAAGAGAAGAACAGTGCAAACCCAAGATGCGCAAACGATGTCGCAATAAGCCCTCCCTCCACGCTCCCACTGCATAGGTCCCTCCAAAAAATGATTTCATCGCGGGAAACGGCACATTCGAAGACAACCGTCTGATAATCCGGAATCGCGCCAAAACACTGTTCGTGCGACTTCTACGCCGCGGATGAACGAGACTGCTGCGCACTGACATTCCACCATTTCTGGGAATTCAACACCTCGCGCCAATGCGTTTTCCCACGCAAACAACCAGGAACAACTCATCAAGAAATTGCTGCCCTTCAGGACAGTCAAAAGAAGTGCGCGCACGGATCCAGGTCCGCCGGGGTAGCAGGGCGCGCGTAGGTAACGTCGAACGTCACGTCCCGGAGAACCAGCAACGAGTAGCCCCAAGCTTGCGTAACGGTCCCCAGGAAGGATGGCAACGCAGTTGCCCGACTCCTCTGCCTTCCCGCTCGCACCTGCACGCGCACCCCCCCCCCTGGTTTCCACAACATAGTTGCGGACAACTCGGGGCGCCTTGCCGACGCCGGCGATGTGAGCGTCGTATCGAACGACTGCTTGACATGGTCGGCTACACCCACTCGCGGATGCAATGAGGGCGATGCGTCCTTTCTTTTCCCCCACCTTCGGGCTTCCGCCAACCCAATTGCCAACAGCTCGGGGCCTTGGGCAGCAACCTTGAACGCGGGAGTAGGATCGCTCGACGATATGACGTTGGCGGCACCGTACCCTGAACACAATTCGAAAACACCCGAGGAGGAGAGCAGCCGGGCGGGGGGCGCGGTCCTTCTGGTTGACGAATTTGGACTCGCAGGTGTACTGGGCATTCTGCGCCACAGATGGTGGCTGAGCCTGGCTGGCCCCGCCAGCCCCTCGAGGCACGGGGCCTGCTGGGGCGTAGTGGATGATCAGCACGAGCACGATGCGGGAGAAGTCGCCGCGAGCACGCGGGGAAGCCGCGCGGGCCATGGCGGCCGTGGATAACGGAGCAACGTGATCCGCCGCCAACTAAAAACGAAAATGTGCGGTCCTGTCTACAATAACCGTTAAGTACAATAACGGGGGATATCTCCCCGCGCCTCCAAACAAAATGGCTGCGGTGGGCAAGGACGACTACGAGAGTGTAGGGCGGAAGGTCTGTGACAAGGTTCCGTTCGAGTAGCACGAGGAGGAGGAGGAGGAGGAAAAGGAAGAGGAGGAGGAGGAGGAGGAGGAGGACCTCGGCCGGGGCGCCCCGCCGCCCCGCCGCCTTGTCGGCCAGCGGCGCCCCCTCCGCCGCGTCCGCCGCCGCCGGGCCCCCCGCGAGGGCATGGTCGTCGCCCCGCGCGCGGGCGGGCTCCTCTGCGCGGGCGCCGCCCAGGCGGCGGTTTGTGGGAGGGGGGAGGCGGCGGCTGGGATGGAGGGGGCGCGGAGGGAGGAGCGAGGAGGAGGAGGAGGAGGAGGAGGAGGAGGAGCACGAGGAGGAGGAGGAGGAGGAGGAGGAGGAGGAGGAGGAGGAAGAAGTGGGGGGGGGATGGCCGCGTTCGACCAGGCCAGGTGGCCCCCCTGCGGGCGGTGGTGGCGCCGCCCCTCCTTCCCCCGAGGAGGAAGAGGAGGAGGAGGAGGAGGAGGAAGAGGAGGAAGAGGAGGAAGAGGAGGGGGAGGGAGGAAAGGAAAAAGAGAAACAGGAAGAGGAGGAGGGGGAGGAGGAGGATTGGATTGGACACCTCGAGCGGACAAGGCTGAGCCTTCCAGTGACGAAGGTTGAAGGGAAGACACTGCACCACACAGCGGCACAGTGTTCCCCACCAAGCAAAATGCCAGAAAACCCAAACCCTGAGAGAGAGACGATGCCATCCCAGTGGCCCAAACAACGCTACGCGGCGAGCCTGGCGCGCAGGGCGCACGCCTGGCTCTTCTCCCTACCAAACCGCCGCGCTCTTCTGCAGTCATTGCATGTAGCAGGATCTCCACGAGCAATCCCGCGGCGAGGAGGAGGAGCGAAGAGCGAAGAGCGAAGAGGAGGAGGAGGAGAAGGAGGAGGAGGAGGAGGAGGAGGAGGAGGAGGCGGCGGAGGAGGAGGAGGGGAGGAGGGGAGAGGAGGAGGAGAGGAGGAGGAGGAGGGGAGGAGGAGCGAGAGGAGAGAGGAGGAGGAGGAGGAGGAGGAGGAGGAGGAGGAGGAGGAGGAGGGGGAGGAGGAGGAGCGAGGAGGAGGAGCGAGGAGGAGCAGGAGGAGGATGCGGAGGAGCGAGGAGCAAGGAGGAGGAGGAGGAGGAGCAAGCAGGAGGAGGGGGAGGAGGAGCGACGAACGACGAACGACGAGCGAGGCGGCGGGCGCGAACGGCCGCCCCGCCGGAGGCCGCGACGTGCCTCGCCCCCCCCGAGGCCTCCCCGAGCGCCCTCGTCGCCGCGGCCTCCCGCGCCGCAGGCCCCTGCCTCGCGCGGCCGGCGGCCTCGCTGCCCGAGGACGGCGGTCGGAAGCCCCCACCGAGGCCGAGGGCGTCGGCGTCGAGGCCTCGGAGGAACAGCGGGCGGCACAGACACTCTCCAGATAAGCGGAAAAGCCCAAGCCACCCCCCCATCAGGAGCACCCCGACAAGCGACGCCGTTCAGTAAGCGCACCCATGGAGGGAGTCGAGCAGGGCAGGGCCGTGCAGTAAAAACGCCCAGGGCTGTTTGTTAGGAAGCGCGAATTGTCGGGGTCGGGGTGGTTTTTCCACCCTTGACTCTCCGAGTCCGCGGGTGCCAAGCGGTCCAGGACAGCCAGAGGCCGGTCAGCAAGCGGCGGGGCGCACCGGGAGCGAACCGAGGCACGAGGGCGAGGAGGAGCAGGGCGCGAGGGGGGACGAGGGAGAAGCCGGCTCAGACCAAGAAAGCCAGTGCGGGGATGCTGTGGCAGAACTTCGCCGCGGCACGCGCACACGCACACACACACACACAGCCAGGCCAGGCAGAGGGCACAGAGAGAAGGAGAGAGAGAGAGAGAGAGAGAGGCCGAGAGCGAGAGCGCGGCTGCGGGCACCGAGGGAGGCCGGCGGAGGGCCGGATGTACCCCCGGCGCGCCCCACCGTGAGCGGCAGGAGGGGACGAGGGGGGGCCGTCCTCCCCCCCTTAGCGGCCCCTCCTGCCGCCCGCCTCTCGTCGAGGTCTCCGAGGCCCGCGAGGACGTCTTGGGTCGGCGCTGGGCCCCCCCCTGGGCGCGCGGAGCGCGCCAAAGGAGCGCGCTGGGGGCGGCGCCAGAGGCGCGGCCCGGGGGCCCAGCGCCGGTCCAAGAAATATGCGCGGACCTCCGAGGAATCATGTGTGTATGCCGTCGGCCCTAACTCGCACCTCGCACACGTGAGGTTCGCATCACGAGCCAAGTAGAAAGAGATCGCGAAGGAGATCCGCCACCCCAATCGAGAGGGGTGTGAAGGCCGATGCTGCGCTAGGCAGCACGGTACTCCATTGCCGAAGCAGCGACCCAGACGTCGCGCACACTTGACGTCCCAGCCGGGGACGTGCTGCAGCAATGCTATGTCTACGCCGTCTGTTTAATCTTCGAGCCACGCCATGCGATCCTGCCATAGGCCTTGCTCAGGTCGAACATCAAGCTCAGCGGCTCGGCATGGTCGGCGTCGGAACTCTGCAATCACGAGCAGCGTTTCACCGATCCCCATCCCCACTGACGTGGCCTGGGCCCCACTGGCCGGTTCACCCCCGAGATGAGGATATGGGCGGCTCCCTTCGGGCTTTGAAGGGCATATCCCCAACTGGGGTGGTGGGATGGTGGTGATCGGGACGGGGATGGGCCCGCTACTGCGAAGCCCGCCTTTAGCGCCTCGGCCGCGTCCCATGCGGCACTTGCCGCGGGGCCCGTCGCGCCCTGGAGGAGGAGGAGGAGGAGGAGGAGGAGGAGGAGGAGGAGGAGGAGGAGGAGGAGGAGGAGGGGAGGAGGTCGGAGGAGAGAGGAGGAGGAGGAGGGGAGGGAGAGGAGGGGGAGGAGGAGGAGAAGAGAGGAAGGAGGAGGAGGAGGAGGAGGAGGAGGTGGGGGAGGAGGAGGGGAGGAGGAGGAGGAGGAGGAGGAGGAGGAGGAGGAGGAGGAGGAGGAGGAGGAGGAGGAGGAGGAGGAGAAGGAGGAGGAGAAGGAGGAGGAGGAGGAGGAGGAGGAGGAGGAGGAGGAGGAGGAGGGGAGGAGGAGGAGGAGGAGGAGGAGGAGGAGGAGGAGGGGAATGATGCGCGTTGCGTGTCCTTTGGCTGTCGTCGTCGTCGCTGCGTTCGCCGCCGCTGTCGCCGTCGTTGTCGTCTTCGTCGCCGTCGCCTTCGTCTTCGTCGCCCTCGCCGTCGTCGTCGTCGTCGCCGTTGCTTCTCGTCGGCGTCGCCCTCGTCGTCTCCTGTCGTCGCCGTCGTCCTGTCGCCCTCCCGGCTGCCCCCCCCCCGGGGTGTCTCCTCCCGCCGCCCTCCTCCCTCTCCCCTTTTCCCTCGCCTGGCTGGTGGTGGTGGAGCTGTGGCGGGGTGGTGGAGGACGACGAGGTTCCCTGTTTCGTTGCCGCCAGTTGGCAGCACGCGCACTCGCGCTCGCGCACTGGCGCTCCGCCATTTGGTGGCGTGGCAGGCGCGGCTCCCAGGGGGCCCCTACAACTGTCTCGCATGAAGCGACACCCGGCCCCCTGGGAGCGGGCACGCGCGCCGGGCACTTGCCCCACTGCCAGCGCCCTACTCGGGACTGCTCATGCCTGCCCTTTGCCCGGGGCTTCGGCACCAACGCGCCCCACTTGGGTGCGCCTCAACCAGAACCAGAACCAGGAGGAGGAGGAGGAGGAGGCGCAGGAGGAGGAGGAGGAGGCGCAGGAGGAGGGAGAGGAGGAGGAGGAGGAGAAGGAGGAGGAGGAGGAGGAGCAGGAGGAGGAGGAGGAGGAGGAGGAGGAGGAGCAGGAGGAGCAGGAGGAGCAGCACGGGGAGCAGCAGGAGGAGGAGGAGGGGACCGGTTACACGATACTGAAGTCCACCAGCGTCAGGGGGCTCGGTGCAGCGGCGTCGGCGCGAGGGCCAGCCGTCGCGGTGCGGCGGCGTCGGCGCGGCCTGCGCGGCCCCCCGAGGCCGGGCGGGGCGGCCGCCGGCACCGAGGCGGGCCGCGGGGCTGCCGGCCCTGCGGGGCCCGCCGCCCGGGCGGCGCAGGCCGCGCCGGCCGCGGTACGGCTGGCACGGGGGTCGAGAGCAGCCCTGGCTCTGGAGGGGCAGCTACGGTAGAGGGAAACAATTACTGAACACCCACCCTCCCCCCCGAACGCAATGTTGGCACGCGCGGGGGAGACTGCGGTCGAAGTGCATCTCATCAGACCCACCGCCAACTTTGAACATTGGGGGAGGGAGGCGTTGACGGATGAATGTGGCATGTGTTCGCTAATTTGTTCCGAGGCCTGTACTCTGAGCTTATCCGCATCACTCTTACTCCCACTGTTAAGTCGGGCGTGTCCCCCTACAGGGGGATTTGGGGCGAAAAATGAAAAATAGTCAAAAAATACACCCCCAATGGGCAAAAGTAGTCAAAAAAATCGTCCCCTGACTATTTTTGACTATTTTACCTAACAGCTTTTGCTGATAGGTTTCTAGTGGGGTCAAAAGAGAGCATCTGGACTCCACAGGGGGGTCTGGGCGGGTGCCGGGGAGAAGAACCGGGAATCGTTTTTCGCCAACAGTCACACACTTCGTGCTCTTCGACCTCCCAGAACTCCATTCCCGGGCCACATTCTGGAGAACCGGGAACAGAGCAGGGCTCGCTTTTCGCCAACAGTCACACACTTCGTGCTCTTCGACCTCCCAGAACTCCATTCCCGGGCCACATTCTGGAGAACCGGGAACAGAGCCGGGCTCGTTTTTCGTCAACAGTCACACACTTCGTGCTCTTCGACCTCCCAGAACTCCATTCCCGGGCCACATTTTGGATGCCCGGAGCCAACTGTAGGCCACTTCGTGCTCTTGGACTTCCCAGAACTCCATTCCTGGGTATGATTTTGAATGCCCGGAGCAAACTGTAGGCCACTTCGTGTTCTTCGAGTTCCCAGAACTCCATTCCCGGGCCACATTTTGAATGCTGAGGCAGGCTGAGGCTGAGGCTGATCAGGCTGATGCTGAGGCAGGCTGAGGCTTGAGGCTGAGGCTGATACAGGCTGAGGCTGAGGCTGACGTACAGAATGAGGCACTGATGGCTGAGGCAGCTGAGGCTGAGCTGAGGCAGCTGAGGGCGAGGCAGCTGAGGCTGAGGCTGAGGCTGATGCAGGCTGAGGCTGACGCCGGATGAGGATGAAGGCGAGGCTGAAGGCAGACTGAGGCTGAGGCTGAAGCAGGCTGAGGTGGAGCTGAGGCAGGCTGAGGCTGCGG